CAGAGTTTTTTTGGTCGCCAACGTTCCTACGTTGTTTTTGTTCGTTGGTGTGTGGTTGGTCTGTACATCTCCACACACGATAGCGGTTTTATCCTGGGAGGAGAGTGCCCACGTTTTTCCGGTACGGTAGGCGGGCACTACTACCTTAAGGACAGCTCCGGCGACTCCGCTGTCTTTCACGGTGTTTTGTTTTGCAGGTTTAGTTCATAAAGACCTCGCTGCATTCTGCCCTAGTGCATAATGTCCTCGCAGCCCAGTGCATAATGTCCTTGCTGTCCAGTGCATAATGTCCTCGATGTCCAGTGTTTAATGTCCTCATACAACAAGGTTGTTTGAAGATATATAAATTTATTTTCAATTCTGTTTATCTTGTAATATTCTGAATAAGTTATAAATTCAGAATTTTATTTATTTTTATTTTCTGAGGCCGTTCATCTTCCCCGTCCGTTGTAATCCGTACAAAATTGTAACATGTGGTCACGAAGTAGAGCTGAATGAGATAGTTTAAATTGCTTTGCCTTACTTTTTTTAGTTTTTGAAAGTTTTCTTTTAGTTTTTTATTTTCAATTCTACATTAATTTTTTTTCTAGTTTTGTGTTTAGTTTAGTTTTTGTTTTTGTTTTTTTAGAAAAATTCTGCAAATTTGTTTTTAGCTCCATTTTTTCGGATTTTTTTAGTATTAGTATTTTATTTATTAGGTGTTTAAAAATTATTTATTTCATCAACATAAAAAAAGGATAGAATTTAATTTAAATAATAGATAAATGTTAAATATAATAATTGTGTAATCATTAGAGGTCAAATGAAGTATTACGTATGTTATGTGAGTGAAAGGGTGAGTGCAGTGGAGTACTAAAGATAGCCTTATGTTTTTTCATGAGTTGTATATTACGCAGTATTTCTTAAGTTTTACTTGTATTTTCATGTGTCAACCTGAAACGCGTTGAGGCTTACGCCTTATGTGCTAACGAAAAATGCTTCAAACCCGCCCTATGCCATTTCAAACACTGGTTTTACCTTGAGTTTGTCTAGGCACAGGAAATTTTCTGCAAGGTTATGAGTATTCTTGATTTGAAGACAATGTTTAATGTGTTTTATTTAGGGACTGATTTTACCTAGGCCTGGTGATGGTTCGGGTTTAGACCCGGATCTAATCTGGACTCGTCAATTATTTATCTGACCCACCCTTTTTAAAATTTTAAAATGGGTAACCGTTTGAATCACCTGATTCTGGACCCGATTAGACCTAACCTGATATAAGTAAATAATGATTTTAAATTTTTTAATGAGATGTTGAAATAAATACTAACTCCGGCCCAGAGTATTTATCCAATTAAATACAACAATTTATTATGTTTATCATGCGGAAAACTATTTGAAATTTATTTTGTCGTATTAATAAGTAATGTAAATTTAATGTAATTGATGAATAAAGTTTGTCTCGTTTGACTCAAAAAAGTCAAATTGGACGAGTAGCCTTGGTAATGTATTTACGCTTTATAGTGTTTAATTGGAAAGTTGAGATTTATAAGTATACGAGAATACTCCATAACTTAGTATAAGAATTAATCTTTGTTTACTGGACTATTATTGATGTGTATTGTCTAAGTTTTTAAAAATAATTGTGAGAATGATGATATTGAATTAAAATATAAACAATTTGTTTCGATTTTTCTGAATAGTCCTACTGATAGCTTTATGTTATTTCATGAGTATTATATTACGCAGTGCAGGATTTATGTCAAATAACCAAATCAGCTGACTGCCTAGACCAGGATTGGGACCCGGACAGACTAAGACCTGAACGTGTCTGGGTCTAGTAACACAAAGAGTAGAGCTGACGGGTCTTGGGTATTGGTCGGGTTCTATTTTTTGGTTTCTATTTGGCACGTGTTTGGAACTATCAATTTTGACCAAAACTCGACGTATTGCATGGTTATCACGTCGCCTAGTCGTGGACTAGTCGCCGACTAGTCGTCCAGTCGGAAATTGGGTATCGACAAGGGCAACGACTAGCGACTAAAGGGTTAGGATGCAAGGAATCACGGATCTGGTGTCGTTTGGCATCCCAGAACCCTTGCAGAGGGAGGGGGACAACACCAATAGTATATTAATTTTTATTCTATGAACATGTTAAGTGGTTTGATGTGAAATTCATGATTAATTTGAGATTTATATTATGTTTCTTATCTATTTTTCTAATTGTTATCGTTTGTGAGTATTTTGAACACACACACACACAACACACACATATATGGAGTATTACTTATTCTGATTTGTCGACTAATCAGCGACTAGTCGGCCGACTAGTCGACTAGTCACCTAGTCTCTTCCACACCGACTCGACTCGACTTGTCGACTTGATAACCATGACGTATTGACATGCATAATTTTACCGATTAGCTAGGAATGTATGTTTTAAAGATAAACTTAGAATCTCTTGCACTTGATTCATTTGCTAATTAATGACTACTCCGGGTGTTGCTTGCTTTAAATAGGACTACCTGGTGTCATGTGGGTCTTGCCGGATTTATATCTTGATGTTCGTAAGAAGGATTATGGAGGTTTGACTTCTCTCTCAGAACAGCTGCCTTCTAATTCTATGAAAAAGAACAATGCAATTCTTCCCTTGAACTTTACATGTTCATCATCATCATCATCTTCTTCTTTTACTTTAAATTGGATTCTTATTATTTAGGAGATCTGTTTGTTGATGGAAAAGTCATTCCACGGCCACAATACAAATTCAACTGGAGGCAAAATGATAGAAACCGGCCCCGACCACGATACGATAGACGTCGAGAAACAGTGCAGATCAGTAGGAGGCAGGAAGTAAGCCAGCATGCTGCTCCTCTACAGCATTTGGAGCCCTGTGGTGATGTGTGAATTGAGTGATAGAGGCACTACTCAATCTGAATCTGGCACGACTACAATCTCAAAGGGAAACGAGAGAATTTTTTCAACGCCCCAAAACCGAACCCTTTGATCTTCTTATATAGAATTGGTATTTTGATGTATCTTTTGAATTGACAAGCAGTGATTCCAACGTTCTTGCATTGCCAAGTTATGTGTAGCTGCAACCTCTCCTGTCATTTCGATATCCTTGTTTTTATTTGGAATCATTTATAAGAATACTCCTAAAATTTCTAGATTTTACATTATTGACGTTGTTGCTCCTAGATTTATCTCATATTTATGTCGCTACTCAACCATTGTCTTGTCATCATCGATGTTACTTATGGCGTGTCTTTTACCGTTGAGGCACTGAGTGGGCTAAGTGTACTCACTTTTATTTTTCTATTTTAAAATACTAAATCTGCCTAAGTGAATAATTTTTTATTTTCTGTTATTGAATAATTTTGGAACTTTTTGAAGAGTGCCGATGGGTTTGTGTAATGTATAAGCCACCATGTCTTTTACCAAGCTCCATTGACTTGTTCTTGGAAATGTCCCGCAGTATGCATTTATCTTTTTATGAAATAGGTTGTAACTCCAAGTTGTTTACACAATTTACCCACAAATAGTAGATTCAATTTGAAATCAGGTACAAAGAGAACATCCTTAAACATTATTTCACAAGGTAAATGGATGGTTCCAGTTTGAAAGACTGTAAGTTGTTGGTTATTCAGTAGAATTATAAGGTGAGGTGAGGTTAATTTTGTGAGATTAGTGAGAAGACTAGGATTGACACACATATGATTAGTCCCTCCAGTGTCTAAAATCCAGGCATAATCATTAATCAAATTCACACTATAACACATATTTTCAACCAAAATATTATTAGGGCTAAGAATCATACGAGCCATGTGTGCTCTGAATGCTTGGGATGAATTTTGAGCTTTATCGTCATGGAAAGAGCTAATGAATTTCATGAACTTAGTGAAAAATTCAGGGCTAAATTGCCCATAAGGTTTGGACTCACTAGTTTCAGATTTTTCCCCACTCACAACATTGGCAACTACTCTTCTTGGCTTTGTAAACTTGAAGTCATTTGGGAAACCAATAAGCGTGTAACACTTGCAGCAGAATGACCCTTCTTCTTATAGAAATCACAAATCAAGTTTTTCTTTTCTTCAATTTTTCCTTTATATGTTGAAATAACATTTGCATTCAAAGATGCATGTTCAGCTGCAAAATGTGAAGGTGTTTGTATCTCAAGAACCGGGCATTTGCCCGTCCATAGCTGGTATGGTGCTCCTTCAACTGCCTTGGTTGGAATTTGATTAAGGGTATAAATTGCAGTGCTCAGCGCATACCCCCCGAATGAATCTGGTAGAGTCGCATGACCCATCATAGATCGAACCATGCTTAGCAGGGTTTAGTTCCTCCTCTAAGAGACACCGTTTCATTGTGGAGTCATAGGCGCCTAGGCGGTGTGAGTTGAGATAATATCCCATGTAACACATCTATGTGACTACATTTTGGTCCTAGCAAAGCACTCAATTGCTCGAGCCCTTGGACACCGTTCACATGTGAGGGTTCCCAAGGTTCATGAGTTAGTTGTATGTATCTCCCTAAGTTGTATGTCTCATACCACATAGATTAGAAAGATATATACCTCTACCAGCTACATGTATCTTACCAAGCTGTATGTCCCATACCACATGAGTTAAAATTATTTCCTTCAATGAGCAGTATCATGAATTTTAGTTATAAATATATAAATAACTATGCTCTTGAAATATTCATATTAAGATTAATTATAGAAGTTTATACCTTTGTTTGGTTCATTATCCAAATGCCTTTTTCTGCTGAATTTTCCTTTTTTAGTCAGCTTCCTCATCCTATCAAATTCCCTAAATATTCCCCTAACATATTGTGCAAACATCATTGTCAAATATTAGGATGCACTGGAGTAGTCGTGTGATAACATAATAAGCCGTGAATAATAATCAATTTTAGAGTTTATTAATTGATCACTTATTCACGACTTTCAAAGTTTAGGTGGTTGTAAATCTTGAGCCAATAAACTTTTATGCTTAAAGCATTAAATGCATGTCATACTTAGTGCCTTAGGTTCGTGGCTCCAGGCACACTAATGAAAAAACACGTCCAACTAGGGCTGGACACGGTACCGGTTCGGTCTTGTCACCAGAAACAGTACCGCCGGTACCGAGCACCGTAACGGCAACCGGGACGGCGAAACGGTTCCGAGAACCGGCACCGGTACCACCACATCCGGTCTCGGTTCCGGTGCCCCAAAATCGGTACCGGCGCCGCCGGTACCGGCGCCGGTTTTATTTTTTTATTTATTTTTTTCTCCTTTTTGCTCTCCAACGGTAACCTGCAAAAAAACATAGTTAGTGGGGGGGCGGCCAAAACGGCTAAATCATGGGGAGGGGGGAGGGGGGGTAATTTTTTCCTATAAATACTCATTTTTTCTTCTAAATTCTAAAAAAATCACACTCATCAATCCATATCCATCTCTCTTACTCTCTAATCTCTATTCTCTCATTCTCTCAAATTTCAATATCTCAATCTATCATTTTAATTTCTCAATCTTAATATCTTATTATCTCTTTTATACATTTTTTTAAATATATTATATTTTAATATAAAAAATTTAGAAATTATTTGAAATTTTCGAAATTTAATATTTCTTTAATATCAAAAAATATATAATATATATTTTAAATATATTCTCTATTTTTTTTTTGAAATTTTCGAAATTTTTATATATAAAATTTCAAATTTTTTTTAAAGTTTCGAAATTTAATATATTATTATTTTATATCAATATATATATATATATTAAAATGTCGAGAGAGTCCGGTAGAATGTCCGTGGATATGAGCGCCGTGAACCGAAGTTCGAGTAGAGGCAAAGCAAAAGTCACCTCCGACGGTTCGACCTCACGCGTTT